TTATTATTAGCTGCTAGTTTGGTTCCCTTTTTACACCTCAGCTGTAAAATTCTGATGGGGTATTGTCGTCACCTTGCCGGGAGGGTGGGCAACATAGACACCCAAGTTTGTGAATGTGATAATTCAAGAAGGAAGTCACCTAGGATTTTCAAATTACCACAGGTGTATCTATTAAAAATCGGAAACACACAAACACAGAGTATCGCTGCCAATGTTTTTGTTTTATTTTTATGGTTTATGATGAGACCTCTGCTTACATCGGGTGGCACGGAAACCATTTCCTTGATATGTTTGTGCCTTTTCCCAGTTACATCACTGAATTCGTTGACCTCGGCAATGTGTCTGCTCTGAGGACATTTCGTGTGCTTCGAGCCCTTAAAACAATTACTGTGATTCCTGGTATGCTTTCTGTTTTAATATAACACTAATAGTTTAACTGCAGTCAGTACACATTATTTTTACTGGTTTTTGAGATATTCGACTTCCAAATATAGACCACTCATGTATCAATTGTGTTTTGTCAGGTTTGAAAACAATTGTGGCTGCTTTGATCCAGTCAGTGAAGAAAATGGTGGACGTGATGATTCTGACAGTCTTCGCCCTTGCGGTTTTTGCACTCGTTGGTCTTCAGCTTTTTATGGGAAACCTGCGACAGAAATGTGTGCGATGGCCCATCCAAACCAATGACACCATGTTTGAAATCTTTAACGGCACCTCTTCATTCAATAACACAGTGGACTTCAACGACACCATTGGCTTAAATGATACATATACCAACAGCACCTTCAATTTCACTGAATATATTGAAAACTCAGGTATTTTTCATCTAATCTCTAAGTTTTTCATCTGTAATTTTAAATCAATATTGTCCACAGTGGTGTAAAGGTGTAGCTTTTCCAATTTCTTTTTTTGGTTGATTATAGAGAATCAGTACTTTCTGGAAGGCAGCCAAGATGCTCTGATTTGTGGAAACAGCTCCGATGCTGGGTGCGTATCACCACAAAGATGCTACAGTGCTAATTTTGTCTTTTATTTGGGGTACTGGAGTTTCAGTGCAGACATGAGCCTTAATTGAAGTTTTAGAAAGGTTACAAGTGTGATTTGGAGGCTGGGAGTCCAGATGTAGTTGGATAACTTTTCTTCTCTGCTGACAGGAAGTGCCCTGAAGGATACACATGCATGAAGGCTGGGAGGAACCCAAACTTTGGCTACACCAGCTTTGATTCTTTTGGCTGGGCCTTCCTTGCCCTTTTCAGGCTCATGACCCAGGACTACTGGGAGAACCTTTTCCAGCTGGTTGGCTCTTCTTTCATTTGCTTCATTACAGTTTATGCTTTCATTTTAAAAATGTATTGTGAAGAAATTTGTCCTTAGTCCTCGTAGCTTCTTTTCTGTTCTTAAAACAGATCTTGAGGGCAGCTGGTAGGACATACATGATGTTCTTTGTAGTCGTTATCTTTCTGGGCTCCTTCTACCTCATCAATCTTATCCTGGCTGTGGTAGCCATGGCTTATGACGAACAGAATCAGGCAACTCGGCAAGAGGCCATCGAAAAAGAGGAGGAGTTCCAGCGGCTACTAGAGCAAGTCAAGAATCAAGAGCAGGTAACTTACACCGGCCTATTACACTGAATCAGAATTAGTTCAAAAACTGATTAAAACAAATGGCAAACAAATTTGTGTTCCATTTGCTTGATTTATTATTTTTTCCAAAAACAATCAAAAGCATTTTTGATGCAAGTTTCAACGACTATTATTGGCAAATAAATCAAACTTATACACAGAGACAGTATTTACAGTGTTGAACCTCCTTCTTTATACGCAGTTCTTTCTGGCACCGGATGCTCTTCAAGGGATGTGATCTAGGGAGACTCTTGGTCATAGATTCAAACTATTATTTACTTTGCCTTGTGACATGGTGCTTTTTCCTTCCTGAAAAATGTACTGATTAACACTAAATTCCTCCTGGATGACTGGAAGAGGTTGGTCTTTGCCTGGATCAAATTCAAAATAAAACTGAAGATGCAAAGTGTATAAGACACCAATATGTGC